ACAGGGGGAGATAACCAAATACTCTAATAGTTGTTAAAGGAGTCCATTTACACAAAACAGCAATGTTGAGGTGAACCCTTAAACAAGGCTGCAAGCTCATCTTCTCAAAGGACAACAGATAGATATTCCAAGAATGGAAGACCATCTGCTTTGCCGTCTCCTTGCAAATTATTTCTTATTCAGTAGTTATTGAGGACTTTCCACTGTGAGGCCACCAGGTTGTGGGGGGATTAGTCCTTCAAGATATAAAATGACTGTGCTTCCTATTTTTTTGCTCCCCCTGAGTTAGCATCGCCCCCTCCCCCAACTAGTGAGATGCCACTGCTCCTTTGGGATTGGGTGGCATAGAATTGGAACTGCAAGCCCTACACGAAATCATTATGATCTTCAGTTTGACATAGAGGAGAGGAGAATGAGGAGCATTCCTTCCTATCTTGGTACCACAAGAAGGCAAGCTGAACCTGAACAAATTAGAAATACCAATACCCTAGCTGCTGAAAATGTCTCCATGCAAATGGTGATGACCACTAAAATGTAAAAAACAGGAATGCATATGAAATGGGCCAAAAAACAACACTTTCTTTAGGTTAAGTGACTTGCCCAAGGTCATGCAGCTAGTAAATAACCCATTTTAGACAAAGGCTTCTCACTGCTTTTTTTTTTTTTTGTTCCTAGTGCCCGAAGGTTGAGGTCTCCTACAATGCATTGTTGACAAGTGTGGGCCAATTGTAAGAAGTGACTTCATCCCTAAGCCTAGACTAGATGAAATAAAAAATCAAATTGAAGAGTTACTAAACCCTGAAGTAGAAAAAGTAAAAAAAAAAATCTAGGCAACTGGAAATCTTCACTTAACACAAACTCTAGCAATTTTATCTAAAACAAAATATTCTTGCTTAAAAAAATTTTGAAAAAGATGGGTATATTTAACAATTCAAAAATTCCTTTTTGAGTTTGATACCATGAATTGTGAAGGAAATACTTTATTATTTATTAATATTGTTTGAACCTAGCTTTATGTGGCTAGAAGATTATTTAACCCCAAACCATATGTGCTGCTGACCTCAGAAACCTTCCAGAGAAGCTGGACCTTGGGTACTATGAGACATCAGCAGGTCATAGTGGGCAGACAGGTATTGATTGATCTGTTGCTGTGGCATCTATTACACGCTTTTGTACTTGGTATCGATCACTGAATCACACTCTTTGAGGTCGATATAGTAAATTGTTGAAAAGGAAAATGAAAAGAGCAAAAAGAGTTCAGGGATTCAGGCTTGCAGGTGAATCATAATCTCTCTGGTGCTCAGCCTCATCTATCAAATGAGGGGTGCAGGTGACCTCTAAAGTCCCTTCTTACTCCAAATCTATGATTCTAAGACATATTTGTTGCTGTTTACTTGTCTAGTGGTATTTGATTTAATGACCCCATGGACAATAGCATGCCAATATTGTCCATGGGGTTTTCTTGGCAAAGATGCTGGAATGGTTTGCCATTTCCTTTTCCAGTGAATTCAGCCTAAGGTTAAGTGACTTGACCAAGGTCACACAGTTGAAGCTGGATTTTAACTCACATTCACGTACCTTAAACAAAGTGTTCTCCCCTCCCCAAACTTGCTCCATCTTAACCCCTCCCCACATTACCCCCCCACCACATAATCTAAAATTATATATTGACTAATTATATATTAACTAAGGACCACAAAAGATACATAAAAAAAAATAAAATCCCAGGGGAGTAAAAAGCAATTTATCATTTTGGTACTTATTAAACATGGTTTCCCAATGCCCTGTAACATTTACATTGCCATTATCGTCACAAAGCTTTTGATTCAGTTTTGTGCTCATAGCTTGTCCATGTACTATAAGCACATAAAACCAACCCAAGTATAATGGGTAGTATTCAATGTCCACATGGAAAACTGTTCTCTATTTAAAATACTCCCTCAATACAATAATGAGCTAGCATGGCATAATGAATGGATTAAGGCTGGATTAATTAATGGATGGATAATTAATTAATAAACAAGGAACGGAATAACGTTCAATGTGGAGTCAGGAAGACCTGGGTTCAAACTCTGCCTCAGATACTTCTTAGCAGTATAATCCTGAGCAAGCCACTTAACCTTTTTTGGCCTTAGGACTGCATCAACAAAATGAGGGAGTTAGGTTGGAGGATCTCTACACTCCAGTTCTCGGTATATGATCCTATGACCATAAACTATTAAGGACAATTGATACTAAATTTGATGTCATTTAAGAAGACAGTTAAAAAAAAATAACCCCCCCCAAAAAAAAGACAGCTAAAGCCCATTATGATTCTGCTTTGCCTTAAAACTATTCTGATCTCTCTTAATTATAACCAAGTATTGCTTTCACATAAAAGAGAAAGTTGGGATAAAACGTCTTATTGGTCACTTGGTATGCAGAGATGATATCAGTCATAGAGTTCCAACAAAAACCATGTTAAACAGCTACATCTAATGGAATCATTCCTAGTAATGTTTTTTAAAAACGTAATTTGATCTCAGTAAGTGTAAAATTCTTAATGTGTGCCGAGAAAAAATAGAGACTGAAGACTTCTATCATGACTCCTGAGATCAAATGGAACCCAGTGGATGAAATAGGCCAAGATAGGCTTCAAATGGATATGTGATTTACTATGAAAAGATTAAATCATAGAAAATTAGAGGAGCAAGGAAGGAAATATCTTTTGTGACTATGATAAGGGAAAAGTTCATGATCCAACAAAGGAAAGAGAGGATCACAGCAGAAAAAATGGACAATTTTGATTACATACAATAAAAAGGTCCTATGCAAATAAAACCAGTGAATTTAAAATTAAAAAGAGAAAACTGTTAATTGGGGAAAAAAATTTCTGGAGAAAGTTTCTAATAAAGGCTGATATCCAAGATATATAATAAGGAATTGATTCAAATATGTAAGAATAAGAGCCATTCCACAACAGATAAATGATCAAGGGATATGAATAGGCAGTTCTCAAAAAAAAGAAATCCAAGCTGTCGGTGAACACTGCCCCCCCCCCCAGCGGGGAATGATCCAGATCCTAATAAACAGAGAAAATCAAAATCAAAATACCTTTTAGATTTTACCTCTACCTAGCAGATGGAAGAGATGACAAAAAAGGAAAATGATAATTGTTGGAGGGGCTATAGTGGATTGATGAAACGGTCTAGCTAGTCTAGATGGCAATTTGGAACGGTGCCCTAAAAATCAGTAATCTGTGCGTACCCTTTGATCCAGAAACACCAGTAGTGGGCCTATAGCCCAAATAAATCTAAGAAAGAGGAAATAAATCCTGTGCTAGGCACAGGAAATTATTCTGAACCCCGGTTTTGGGATGTCACAAATGACTGATCACGTATAGGTAAGAAGACAAAGAAAGGTAGGACACGAGATGCAGAACTGGACCTATAACAGCTGGAGTCAGCAGATTGACTCCCTGTGCTTTACTCTGTCCCCTAGAGAGAGGTTTAGCCCAGGTCCCAATAGCAAGAGCCAGCATGCAGTGAGGGTGTCCCTGTTTGGAAGTTTGGAAGAATAATGATCCTTCTCCCTGGGATTGTTTTGGTTCCTTCATTTGCTACATCAGTGGGTGGTTCACTTGGGGGACAGTTGAAACAGGTTCTATGGGACTTCCTCCCCCCCATTTTAATTTTAGTACCTTGTTTTTCTGGACTTCTTTCCCAGCTTCAGCCCTGCTTAACTGATTCCATCTGGTTAAATTCTTAATTTGCCCACATCCCTCAGGATACTCATCTATATACATCAATTGGGTTTCAGTTGGGGTTGTAGCATGGCCTAGCCAAAGCCTATTATGAAGAGATACAGACACACACACATGTGTGTATGCATGTGTGTATACACATATATTCACACACACACATATGTAGGTGTGTACATATACACATATATCCACACATATATCTATGTATATATGTGTATATATACAAACACACATGTATATATGTGTATATATGTGTGTGTATACATATATATGTATACACACACATAGATAGATAGATAGATAGATAATAGATAGATAGATAGATAGATAGATAGATAGATAGATAGATAGATTCATATTTTCGGTTATTTTTTGTTCTAGCAAAGAACTGGAAACCATCATCTGAGGAATGGCTTAACATGTTATGTTCTATTGCGATTAGAGCAAAATACTAATGGCCTCTCCTCTGTATGAGTTAGCCTAAGTTTTCCCCTAAAAGATACTGAAACTATTTGTTGTTCACTTGTGTCCGACTCTTTGTGACTCCATTTGGGGTTTTCTTGGCAGAGACAGTGGAGCAGTCAGCCATTTCCTTCTCCCGCTCATTTTATAGATGAGGAAACTGTGGCAATCAGACTTAAGTGACTTGCCCAGAGTCACACAGCTAATAACTATCTGAGGCTAGATTTGAACTCAGGAAGATGAATCTTCTTGACTCCAGGCCCAATGCTCTATCCACTGTACCACTTACCTGCCCTATACTGGAACTATCCTCAAGTTGAATGACTCAGTGGATTAAGCCTGGGTCATTGTTGTAGCTTTATAAAAACAACAATAGAACACAAATTCTTCTCTACTCCACCACTTCAGCTTGTGATCACAGACCAGTGATATAAACTATACGGGGAGCTGTGCTTAACTGAATCAATTCCTTATGAGTATCCCTTCCTTGTTCTGAATGTCCTTACCTTGCTATGGATAAGTAAACCTCTTTTCGTTAATTATTAGATGGCTTATGAGTATCTTATTTTATTCTAATTTTGGACCTAAACTATCAGGAACCATCCTGAGTAAGGCTCAGCCCACAAAAATAAATAAAAAGCCATAAGATTATGCCATAGGAAATGATGAAAGGGATGGCTTTAGAGAAACCTGGGAAGACTTCTATGAACTGATGCAATGTGAAGAAAACAGAACTAGGAGAATAATTTATACAATGACAACAATACTGAATGAATAAAAAAACATTATTAAGTACCTACTGTATACCAAGCAATGTGCTGGGGAAACATATACAAAGTCAGAAACAGTTCCTGTCTTCAAGGAGCTAACATTCTAAGGAAGAGACAATCCAAAAAGCGGAAGTTCAAAGACTTAAGAATTCTGACTGATGTTATGACCAACATTGATTCCAGAGGGCTGATGATGACACAATCTAAGCATCTCCTGACAGATTTTTTTTAGTTTTGTTTGTTTGTTTTTTGGCTAGGCAATGGGGTTAAGTGACTTGCCCAGGGTCACACAGCTAGTAAGTATTATGTGTCTGAGATCGGATTTGAACTCAGGTCCTCTGAATCCAGGGCCGGTGTTTTATCCACTATGCCACCTAGCTGCCCCCTGAGACATACATCTTTAAACACTGCCAATGTGGGAATTTGTTTTGCTTGACTATGCATATTTGTTTCAAGTGTTTTATCTTTTTTTTTTTATGGGGCAGATCATAGAGAGAGGAGGGTTAACAGGAGGTTGCCTCCTCCCAAAAAAAGGGGGGAAAAAAGGTCATTGAAGCATTTTTAAAAATGAATAAAAGATGTCACTTCTGGTGCCAAGATGGTGGAGTGAGGAAGGAATCCTCTGAAGTCCTCCAAAATTCCTCTCCAAACAACTAGAAAACCACCTCAGACATGACCTACCAGCCCCTCAGGAAAGGTCTGTCTCACAGGGGTAGGAGGGGGGTGAGGTCCAAGAGCAGCAGCAGCTAGCCTCACAACAGGGGGCCTGCAGCTAGGCTCCAAGCCTGGAGCAATCTACCAGTGAGGCCCTGGAGGCAAGTAGCAGTCTGTGCAGTGCACCAGGCAAAGCCCCACCCCAGTGACCCCACCCCCAGCACAAGCCACCAGCAAGGCCTTGACCCCATTTCTAACCAGTAGTGAAGCCCCACCCCAGGGCTGGTCCACATTAAGATCCTACCCTTGGAGCCTGCCAGCAGAGAGACCCTGTTTCCATAGCAACCCAGCAGCAGGGCCCAATCCCTGGGACAGACTAGCATCAAGATTATTTCTCTAGGCTGCCACTTAAACTGTGGGTCATGACCCCCTATGGAGCGTGACCCACAGTTTAAGAAGCACTGAAGGGTCACAAGCAGAAAAAATTTAAGAAGCCTTGCTCTAGGGCCTGCTAGCAGAGAGGATGTGTTTCCATAGCAACTAAGCAGCAGGACCCTCCCTGGGGCAGGCTAGCAGAGAGGTTCCATCCTCCAGTATAAGCCAGAAGGGAAGCCTGCTCTCCAGTGAAAGCTAGCAGCTAAGACCTGAAGCCCAGTGAAAGCCAGTAGTAAGACCCAGAGTCCCAGCATAAAAAACTGAGGAGAGTGCAAGGCCAGAGCCCAACTCTCATATAAAAACACCAAGTCATAAAAAAGGTTGGGGCTAACAGAGAGAGAGGGGGATAAACAAGGGAAAATAGCATGAAGGGAAATACACAGTTAGTTATAAGTATAAATGTAAATGGAATGAACTCACCCATAAAACAGAAGCAGATAGCAGAATGGATTAAAAACCAGAATCCTACAATAAGTTGTTTACAAGAAACATATTTAAAGAAGAAAGATACACACAGGCTAAATGTAAGGGGATAGAGCAGAATCTATTATACTTCAGCTGAAGCAAAGAAAGCAGGTGTAGCAATCATGATCTCAGAGAAAGCAAAAGCAAAAATAGATCTAATTAAGAGATAAGGAAAGAAACTGTATCTTGCTGAAAGGTACTGTAGACAATGAATTCATATCAATACTAAACATATATGCACCAAAATGGTATAGCATCTAAATTTTTGAAGAAGTTGAATGAGTTACAGGAAGAAATACATAATAAAACTATAATAGTGGGGGACTTCAACTTTTTCCTCTCAGAACTAGATAAATCTAACCAAAAAACAAACAAGAAATAAGTTAAGGAGGTGAACAAGATCCAGGAAAAGTTATATATGATACATCTCTGGAGAAAATTGAATGGGAATAGAAGGGAATATACTTTTTTTCCTTCTCAGCAGTATATGGCACCTACACAAAAATTGACCATGTGTTAGGACATAAAAACCTCACAACCAAATGCAGAAAAGCAGAAATCATTTTCAGATCACAATAATGTACAGTGGAAAGAAAGATTAAAAAATAATTGGAAGGTAAGTAATCTAATCCTAAAAACAAGCGGTCAAAGAACAAATCATAGAAACAATCGATAATTTCATTAAAGAAAATGACAACAATGAGACAACATACCAAAATTTATGGGATGCAGACAAATGCATATCTCTAATTGCTTATACCAATAAAACAGAGAAAAATAGATCAATGAATTGGGCATGCAACTAAAAAAACTAGAAAAAGGACAAATTAAAAATCTCCAATTAAACATCAAATTGGAAATGCTGAAAATCAAAGGAGAGATTAATAAAATTGAAAGTAAGAAAACCATTAACTAATAAAACTGGAAGCTAGTTTTATGAAAAAAAACAACAACAACCAATAAACCATTGGTTAATCTGATTAAAAAAAAGAAAGAAGAAAATCAAATTACTAGTATCAAAAATGAAAAGAGTGAATTCACCATGAATGAAGAGGAATTCAAACAGTTGTTAGAAGCTATTTTGCCCAATTATATTACAATAAATTTGACAATCTCAATGAAATGGATGACTATCTACAAAAATATAAATTACTCATATTAACAGAAGAAGAAATGAAATACTGAAAAACCCAGCCTTAGAAAAAGAAATTGAACAAGTCATCCATGAACTTTCTAAGAAAAAATCTCCAGGACCAGATGGATCCACAAGTGAATTCTACCAAATATACAAAGAACAATTAATCCCAATATTATATAAACTATTTAGAAAAATAGGCAAAGAATGAATCCCACCAAATTCCTTCTATAACACAAAACTGACACCTAAACCAGGAAGAACCAAAACAGGGAAGGAAAATTATACACCAATTTCCCTAACGAATATTGTTGCAAATTTTTAAAAAATAAAACACTCCCAAAGAGATTACAGCAATACAGCACAAGGATCATACACTATGACCAGGCGGGATTTGTACCAGGAATGCAGGGCTAGTTCAATATTAGGAAAGCTATCAGCATAATTGAGCATATTAATAATAAAACCAACAGAAACCATATGATTATCTTAACAGATGAAAAAAAGCTTTTGACAAAATACAGCACCCATTCCTATTAAAAACACTAGAGAGTACAGGAATGAATGAAGCTTACCTTAAAATGGTAAGTAACATTTATCTAAAACCATTAGCAAACATTATCTGTAATGGAGGTAAGACAGATGCCTTCCCAATACAATTGGGGTGAAGCAAGGATTCCCATTATCACTTCTATTATTTAATGTTGTACTAGAAATGTTAGCTATAGCAATAAGAGAAGGAAAATAAATTAAAGGAAATAGAATAGGCAATGAAGAAATAAAACTATCACTCTTTGCAGATGATATGTTGTTATAATCAGAAAATCCTAGAGAATCAATTAAAAAACTATTTGGAATTATTAACAACTTCAGCAAAGTTGCAAGATACAAATTAAACCCACACAAATCATTAGCATTTCTATATATTACAAACAAAATCCAGCAGCAAAAAAATAGAAAGGGAAATTCCATTTAAAATAACTGTAGAAAATATAAAATACTTGGGAATCTACCAGCCAAAACAAACTCAGGGACTATATGAACGCTATATAAACAACTATAAGATTCTTTTCGCACAATTAAAGTCAGATCTAAACAACTGAAAAATATTAATTGCTCATACGTAGGCTGAGCCAATATAATAAAAAGGACAATTCTACCTAAATTAATATATTTATTCAGTGCCATACAATTCAAACTATCAAAAATCATTTTATAGAGCTAGAAAAAAATAATAAAATTTATCCAGAAGAACAAAAGCTTAAGGATATCAAAGGAATGAATGAAAAAATTTGAAAGTAAGTGATCTAGCTGTATTAGATCTCAAACTGTATTATAAAGTGGTAATTATCAAAACAATCTGGTACTGGCTAAGAAATAGAGTGGTGTACCCATGGAATAGATTATGTACAAATTACATTATAGTAAATTACCATAGTAATCTAGTATATGATAAACCCGAAGATCCAAGCTTTTGGAATAAAAATTCATTATTTGATGCAGTTCCTGGAACATAGTAGGTACTTAACAAATGTTTGTGGGTTGATTAATTAATCAGAGTTCATAAGTATTTCAAAGTTGTGGGTCTTTACAATATTGTTGCCATTGTATAAATTGTTTTCCTAGTTCTGCTTCCTTTACGTTGCATCAGTTCATACACATCTTGTCTTCCCAGGTTTCTTTGAAACCATCCCTTCAACATTTCTTACAGCACAATGGGGACCATCTCCAATCATCTTGATTCATAACTTGTCGCTGGACCCAGATGGCTCCAGAGACAGAGTGAGGCTGGGGACTTTGCACAGCCCTCCCTCACTTAAATCCAATTCACTTGCAAGTCATGGCAACACTTTCCTGGGAACAAAGGGCAAAAAACAGCATAGTATTTGTATTCATATACCATACCACATCTATATACCATTCTCCAATTGATAGGCACCCTCTTAGTTTCCAATTCTTTGCTACCATGAAAAGAGCTTCTAAACATATTTGTACATATATGTTCTTTTCTCCTTCCTTTGGTCTCTTTGAAACCCATACCCTATCAATGAAACACAGAGCCCATTACTTCAAAGCAGCTCCTTATCAAAAAGAAGGAGGATCACAGACATTTTCACAGCATGTGATATTTAGGTTAAAATGAAAAGGCTCTATAAAAATACTTTTATAATAGCAAACCTAATTTAAATGAGCAACTGCGTTACAGATTACAAGATGGATATAGGTTCATGCCATTAGATTTGTCTAATCTACCTCTAGATAAAGTGTTTTACCTCTAGATAAAGCCTATAAAACAGTTAAGATTCAAGAGCGGAATCAAAAGGCCTTCCATGAGTGATATCTGCACAAACTCAGTCAAATACAAGTTAGCAAAATGAAACAAAACTGAACAAATAAATTTACAGAAATTGAAATGTTTATGATGGCAATTCAGGATCACATTATC